CAGTGGTACTCCACCTTCTACGCCCAGCCAGGTCTCAGTAATACCTGCCAGGAGATTCTCAGTAATACCTGCCAGGAGATTCTCTCCTCCTGTACAACAATTGTGGGCATGTAATGTACTTATCTATCTGTATGTGTATATATACTTGTCAGAAATCATATTTCCCAATAGCAAAACCAAAACAAACCCAAGTATTAATTAAATAAATTTCTGATTTAAATTGATTTCCTATGAATTAAAGGAACTTAAAATAACTTTATCCCCCTCTGCATATATAAACTGTTTCTCTTACTGCTTTCATATACAGAAACATATCACACTTAAAATACTGCATCCAGTTTTGCTCACCATATTATAAAAAAGATGTAGAGACTCTGGAAAGAGTGCAGAAAAGAGCAACAAAGATGATTAGGAGGCTGGAAACTAAAACATATGAAGAATGGTTGCAGGAATTGGGTTTGTTTAGTCTAGTGAACAGAAGGACTGGGGGTGACATGATAACAGTATTCCAATATTTGAGGGGCTGCCACAAAGAAGAGAGGTTCAACCTATTTTCCAAAGCACCAGAAAGGCAAGACAAGAAACAATGAATGGAAACTAATCAAGCAATTTAGAACTAAGAAAAAAATTCCTAACAGTGAGAACAACTAACCAGTGAAACAGCTTGCCTTCAGAAGTTGTGGGTGCTCTATCATTCGAGGCTTTTAAGAAGAAACCGGACAGCCACTTGTCTGGAATGGTATAGGTCTCCTGCTTGAGCAAGGAGTTGGACAAGAAGACCTCTAATGTCCCTTCGAACTCTCTTATTCTGTTATTCTTTTTTCTGGTCAGTGGAATAGCAGAAGGGTGGGGGAGCAGGGAAAACTGGATATGGCGTAAAGAGAAGAGCGAAATGAAAAAACAGAAAGGTTGGACTGGGATGAGGGAAGGGAAGAAGGTAATTAGAAAAGGAAGGAAAGAAAAGAAAGAGAAAATCTCCCAGGCATTACCGAAAAGATTAAAATTAATTAGACAAGAAGCAGGGATGAACCCAATTGGCTGGGGACAGATAATCTTCAAAGGCTCCTATTCAGCAATATTTTCCATTCTCAGTGAATGTGAGGACCACCTTCCCAGGACAATGTAGCTATGAAAGTGCTTGGTTCCTTAGTAATGCTGTCTAAAGGACATTCATTTCTTTAGGAGTTTTATAAATGTTATGTCACTCAGTGAAGCATCTGTCCTGCTTATACACAGCTCTCTTTTACAGAAGAAAGAGTGGGACTGGGATGAGAACAAGCTGCTGGTAATGCATGACCCTATCTACAGGTAAGAGTTGTGAGTGAGGAAAGCACAGGTTAGCAGCATCATTATTGGCCTTTGGGAGAAGGAAAAGTTAATTAGCAGTGTGCATATTATAGGCAAGTCTCCAATGAGTTAGACAAATTTCTGTTTTGTAGACAGGACTATTGAGAGCAATAGCAATAGCACTTGGACTTGTATACCACTTCATAGTGCTTTATAGAACTCTCTAAGTGGTTTACAGAGTCAGCATATTCCCCCAACAATCTGGGTCCTCATTTTACCAACCTCAGAAGGATGGAAGGCTGAATCGACCTTGAGTGGATCAGGATCAAACTCCTGCAATACTGCATTTTAACCACCATAGCTCTTAGAGGGTTTAAAGAAGAAGGTAGAAAATGCTGGTAGATAGCTGATCATTCATAGGTTTGTCTCTCTTTCCCCAGGTCATTTTGTTCCAAGTTGTATGATATTTGCACACAGTCCAGAATGAATCCAGATTGGGACCTGAGATTAGGCTAGCACTTGGCAGAGGTTTCTAGGTCTTGATGTGACAGTGACAGCACTTTGAAGGATAGTCCTTATTTCAGTCTTCTCTTTTCACTAATCCAACTTCATGCTTTACGACATGAGCACTGTACATGCAGAAGTATTTGTAGAAGAACTAATAATCTTCTGAGATTATAACCTGCATGACAGAAAATAGTAATTGGTAACTGACCATATGCATTTTAAGTGTCAACCAGTTCACTAAACAGGAATGGCTATATTGAAATATTATTCCTGTCTATTAATCATATTAGCAGATGGTAATAATGTATCCTGATTAATAAACTTTCTGGTTAAAAAAGAGTGCACAAGTGGTAGAGTGAGGGAAAGGAATAAATTGCACAATAATAATAATGTAAAGATATTATTATATATGCCAGTATTAATTACAATCAATCAATGAAAACCCATACCTTGACTTGGCTTGCTTTTCTCGAAGACAGTGATAGACTAGCCCAGTGGTGGTGAACCTATGGCACGCGTGCCACAGGTGGAATGCAGAGCCATCCCTGTGGGCACGCGGGCCATCGCCCCAGAGGGAGGTGGGGCCGAGCTGCTCCCCTCCCCCTCTCCACATGCGCCAGCGCTTTCGCTCGCGGCGCAAAGAAAGAGGTGTTGAGCTCAAGGGCCAGAGAGGGAATGGGGAAAAAGATCGCTCTTGCCACGATCTCCCTTCTGCTGGCCACTGTGGCTTGGCACGGCTACACCGGAAAACTCCAGTGCCCCGGACTTGCAAGTGAGTTTCGGTGCTCCCAAGTTTTTAGTGCGGCAACAGGACAAAACTCAGCAGGGGGTGGGGGGGAAAACGCCAGTGGCAGTGAGGCAATCCGTGGGGGGG